AGAATCCCTTCGGAAACATGCGCAGGAACGAGCCAAAGATCAGCAGCAAACCTGTTTCCTGCCTGCTTCCAACCTGACAGATGGCTACTACTTGGCTGGGGGTGGGGAGAGATTAACAGCTTTTCTTTAATTTCTGGTGACTGTTCTCCATTCCATTCCCCCACCCCCACCCCCCCAGTATTCTAAACATCTTCCAGGCTGCCCCAGAATTAACTCCTGTGACCCACAGGTTGCATGCAATCATAGCCACTGGCTACACAATCACTCACTCAGACTTAGTTCAGCACATGACTTAGAACCTGATATTAAATTCTCTTTGCCAAATCCTTGAACTCAGATGACTCCAGAGATCCATTCCGGCTCAATTTTCTGCAATTTGAAGACTCTCTCCAGCACAGTCCAACCCTATGAATCTATCCTGAATTCACTCAGGTTTAGCCACTCACAAATAACACCTCCAGCAAATCATCCCATCTTCATAAAGTAATCCCTCCAGCTGAGCATCCCTAATGGCATCTGGACTGTTATTTACTCCCTGCAGAGCTGTCTGGATCCACAGGGATTTCTCAGTGGTGGTGGAAGCTCTGAGCTGGGTTCAGAGCCCTGCTAGCAGTACCATACCTGTTTGGGCTGTAACAAAGGTTGCTCCTGGCTCCTGTGTTCCAGTGAGTGGGACTTCATTTTTGCTTGCTGCAGTGGAGAAACAAAACAGAAGTAGGATTATTTAGCAGTATTAAAAATGGCTGATGTTGGCTTTGGAGAAGCCATGGGAAACACAGTCTGCTGCTCTCTCAGTCTGCTCAAGGCACTCAAGAATTTGGAGATAGGGAAAGGACAGCAAAATAGAAACACTCCGAGTAATTTGCTTGCTGTATACCAAGACATCACCCTTAGAGTTATGCAAAGACTTGTGACAATGACCTTTGCCTTCAGTGCTGTTCTTAGTCCCCTGCTAGCACAAAGCACATCCTAAGAACCAAGATCAAAACTGAATTATTTTGCCTTGCTATAACTACCTCATCAGCCCTACTAGTACCTAAAAACTAGAAAGGGCCAGAAACGGTAGGAGGCAGACTGTATTTTCTAATTATATAAACATTTTTCAGTTTGGGGAAAATGAAGTATGTAGATTATGGTTTCCCTCAAACTTTTCCAGCTCCCAGCTAGGACTGCAAAGTGATAACTAACCAATGTTAAAAGCAACATCATCAAAACTGGTTCAAACTGAAGGAGGGAAAGTCTAGGCTGGATGTGAGAAAATAGTTTTTTCCTCTAAGTGTGATGAGACACTGGCACAGGTTGCCCAGGGATGTGGTGGCTGCCCTGATAGTGTTCAAGGCCAGGCTGGATGAGCCTTGAGCAACCTGATCTAGTGAGGAGGTGTCCCTGCCCATGGCAGGGGGTTGGGACTAGATGATCTGTAAGGTCCATTCCAACCTCTAAATTCTATGATTCCATGAAAACTGATTGCATAAAAAATCCTTCCCCCATCCATTAACGCGAGAGCTCAGAGCTATAAGACGTGAGGTCAAGGCTGTCTGGGATTGCAGAGCTACATGAATGCCAACATACATTTAGAATTCTGCTAGCCAGCCTAAAAATTCAGCTTAAGGACCTTCCAGCATTACAGCCTTAACAGTTATCAACTCTCTTGCCTGGCAACATCAGTCACTTGTGATGGAATTCAGTTGGGAAGGAAGTGGCCCCATGAGCCTGTCGGTGTGTAACGTTCTGTCTGACTTCCTCCCATGCTGCCACATGGCACAGGGAGATCAATCACACCCTCTGGGCACAGAGAGGGAGGAAAAAAGTGCTGAGAGTCAACACTGCTTGTTTACTCCCTCTCCAACTGCCCAGTTTGAATCACAGACGTATTCCAGGCATAAAGTGCACTGGATGGTTTTATCCCAAATGGAGGCAGCATCACCTCTGCAGGGAGCACAACCGCAGCACAGGAGGCACCATGAAGTGATATGCCTTGACTTCTTGGCTTCAACAGTCTCATGCCAAAGATAAATGATAGCTGGAGAGGGTTGACATAACCAGACAGGCGAAAGAGCAGCGAAGGAATTCATCTCTTGGTTTTACTTAATTGAATCATTTTCTCTGCTCAGCTCTACGCCTGTGGGCAGATGGGGAGGTCAAAGCCTGGCAGACAGGCAGTTGAGATATGGCCACAAAGATCCTTCTGCAGTGGGTACCGTTCTCTCATGCTTCCCTGAACAACATGAAACACACAACAGTGTGTTTACATACAGCCAAACTACCCCTGAACCCATCACGGGCTTGTCCTCCTTTGTGTGCGAGAGCTGCGTTACGTGAGCGCATCTGTGTGTGTCTGATAACACGCCTGCTACATTATCCAACACATCCCTACCCTGTTTGACACTCATCTCAACACAAAATGTGCTATCACAGACGTCAGCAGCTGAAGGGAAGGCACAGACATAGCCATGCCCCCACTGAGAGGCTTCCTGCCAGCCCAGCGAGTTGGCTCTGCTGCAGTTCAGTTTTACTGGAAGGGCTTTAGCTTTAAGGAGGAGAAAAGTGAACACATTTCCAAGTTAGTCCCAATTCCCACTGCTTTGAATTCATGTAACACAAATGAAAAATAGAGCAAACCAATTGTCACCACATAGCCAGTCTCCTCTAGCTCTGAATAACATCAGAAAGGGCACAGATCAAGAGAGAAATTCAAAGCACAGGCTGAAATTCTCCAGCTCTCTCTGTTGCAGTCAGAGAAGAGAACAAGGGACATAAATTATGAGTGAAATGAAATGTTTTCTGACCAGCATGGAACAAACCTACTGTACTGTGTGTCAGGACTTGGGAACACCTCCTGGTCGTGGCATTCAAGTCCTTCCAGTGCAGCCAGCATTTTTCCAGCTTGCTAAATCTTTTGGGACTCAGGAAAAGTATTTTTAGCTCTAAGTGCTGGCTCAGCCTTACCACAAACTATGTGGAACCTATTAAGACAGAAGGTGCATTTTTCATTCTAATACGATAGAAACTATTTGTATTAACTCCACAGAGGGAAAATGACAAGCCCATTGCAGAGCTGAGCCAGTGTGTCTCACGGGTTTTCAGACAGCAGTTGACAAAGTTAAATGCTTAATTATTGGTATTTTACCCAATTTACAGGGTATGTGAGAATCTCTGGTGCCCACTGCAGCCAAAGGGAATTAGGGAAGACTTTTAACAGGAAGTAATTATAGATGAAAATAAAACTAAATCAGGACACCTACAAGACACCTAATTTTGTCTGTGGAAGCCTAGCATAAGGCAACTGTGATTACTTCTGTCTATACCTTAATAGCTATTTATTCCAGTCACTTAACACAGGGTTTTGCTTAATTAAAGCCACATAATTAAGAAGCTACCTGAATACAGTATCTTTGTAGCAGAGCTCAGACTTCAGACATAAATGCTCATCATCTGGCCTTGCTTTTAAAAGTCCTATTCATGCTCCATCCCCTTTCTCCTCAGCTTAGGCTTGCTGCCCATTTTCTCCAAAGCTGGGCCTCCCTGGCACTGTGCCTCTGCTGGCAGCAGACAGGGCTTCTCTCAGTCCTTCAGCTCTGGGTTCACTCCTCCTTTGCAGCAGAGGCCACAGAGAACGAGGACATGTTTTTCCTTTTGTTTCTAGACAACTGCTACAAGCTGCTGTGCCCACAAGAAGTGCCAGGATCACAGCATGCTCTGCTCTTTACCCCCAAAGACGTGTTGCATCAATTTGCAGTTTCCTAAGCCACATCCCCCTTAAGCCAGACAATGGAAGCATTTAGGAGAGAGCACACATGCATATAGCTTAATCTGGATTTGTCACTGCATCATTTTAATTAGACTAAACAGTGTTCAAGACTAGTCCTACTGCAAAGCTTGGTCATATTTTCCCAAAGCTGTAAAAATAAATAACACAAATCCCATGGAATCTGCTTGTAAATTCAACTACTTTATGCAAGACCTTGTCTGGATGAGATATTTCCACTGTTTTCTCACAGCAGTGCAGGCAGCAGTACAGGCTCATTAAGGATGGCTTCTTTAATGTCACAGACGAGTTTAAACACAGCCAGGCTGCAAGCAGCACTTCTTGTCATCTCTGTTCTCAAGCAACACAGACCTGGTATTCTAATTCCTTTTTATTTTTTTATTCAAAAGAACTTGTAGGAGATATTTTTGCAGGCACCTCCTCATACAAGTAGCTATTCCTCCCCCCAAGTCAAGATGCTGTTCTATTCCAATTACAAATCCAGTGAGAAACAAAAGCTGAGACAAAAATTCTGGGTTGGGGTCAGGTTGGAAGGGAAGGATGGTGTAAAGAAACTATTTATTTTAACACCAAGAAGGGAAATTCACAGTAAGAAGCTGATTGTGGGAAAGCTCATGTGTGGCAGAAGAGATGGAAGAGGCTGCTCTAGGCTTAGGGAGCAGTATAAGGCAGGAATGACACCAGGAAGAAAACTGAGAAAGCAGCAAGGCAGGACTGGGATATCCAAAAGGGATAAGAGGGAATGTCATCAGAGATGTGGGTTGGGTAAGATTCAGAGTTCCTCAAAGGAGAATGAGGAACACAAATTCAATACACAAGCCACAGGAGAGAGTCAAGGATCAGAATGAGAGAGCCAGAGAAGCAAGGGACAACTAACACAACATTTTTAATGCACTGGAGAAACAAATGGTGACAACAGAAGACAAACCAAGTCATGGAGATCAAGGTAAGAGTTTGGAGTGGGAACAGAGAAGGAAGGATGAGTTTCCATGAGACAATACAGCAAACGAAACAGCAGCTCTTGCCAAGGACCTAAATATGGAAAAATAAAGAGCAAGAAGTGATGTGGGAAGCTACCCAGGGTCAACACAGGACAGAAGTTGTGAGGGGCTAGGAAAACAAGCAGCAGCTTGACTTCTGCAAACTGAGTGTGTGATGGCAGCAAGGCAGACAAGACCAGATGTAAGATGGAAGAGGCTGGAAGGGAGGCAGAAAGCAACAGCAGAGATCTGAGAACTGCTAATGAGAACAGTGCTTTCCCAGTTTTGTTCCATCACAAAGAAAAACACATTCAAGCCAGACTGGGCAATCTCTCATTTTTCCTCATCCCCCCAATTCTTTCAGCCAACATTCCCTACTAACCTGGCATTTGAAACTCTTCAAATACTCGGCCCCCACCTGATCTTCTCGCTCAAACCCCGGTGCTTTCTTGTAGCTGCCAGCTGCTGTTACTGAGTCTGGTGGAAAACCAATGGTCTCCAAGCTGTGAGGCTTTCCAATGGCACCGGGAGGAGACCCACATATATTAGATGGGCTTCCAAGACTGCTGTTCCTACAAAGAATCTAACAGAAGGAACAAGTGTCAGGAAAGTACAGCCAGGCAGTAGCAATGACATGAAGAGTAGAGGCATCCCATGGAAGGACTCATTCACTTCACTGTTTGTAGACTGATTACACTGACAGTCAACACAACCATACAAGCTTCCAGTAAACAGCAAGTAAAACAACATCCAAAAAAAAAAAACAGGGAAAAGTTCCACTGGATTTATACAGTCTCACATTTATGGTTTTATTGTTGTTACTTTGGAGTGCAGTTTTGGAAAATCCAACCTACAGCTCTAGTGACATTTACTCTTTTTGAGGCCTCAGATGTGACTGATCAAGTTTCCAACCTGACCATAACTCTCTTCTCTTTCCTTAGGCTACAGTGAATCCTGTCTGCACTCTGAGCAGCAGTGTGGAACCTGGAAAGGTGCTATGGCAGTCAGAACACCCAAGCATATCTGAGCTATGTGTAATACTGTGTTTTTGCCTTCCAGTTGGAAATCTGAAAGTTTTAATGCAGACACAAGCCAAGTATCAATAGCTGCATTAAAAAACCCCACAATTTCCAACACTTCCATTCTTTGACTAATACCAGGGATCACAATTACATGCAACAAGGCTAGTTTTGCACTGTAGATGAAGCCACAGACAGCAGCAAAGGAGATTAAGTTGAGTTTTAGAGAATGTGTCCACCTGCATCAATGCAAACATCCCATTTCTCTGGGACAAGAAACTGTATTAGCCCGTGCTGGCAAGCATGACTGTGCTTCAGACACCACAGATTCAAATGTGGCACAGTCTGGGCTGGCATTAGGCAAAAGAAAAAAGGAGCAGCCTACAATGTTTTGATTTTATTTTTATCCAGACATTCTGCTGTCCACACTTCCCTACAGTCGCAAAGATACTACTCACTGTGGTGGAGGTGGGGCTAGTTGGCAGAGTTCCTGATTTATTCCACACCTACAGTACAAATACAAAACAGAACAGGCCACGTGAGGCTGGCTGCTACAGGGACCTTTTTCTCTGATTAATTCATCATGTAAAATGATCACCAGCAAAGCCATATTTGTTTGCAAGCTACATGCAGATGCCCTGTGGAGTGCTGAAGTCACAGACAGACATGTGTTGCCGTTTGGCACATATCCAAGGATTAGGAAAGACTGTTTGAGAGACTAAGAGCTTCAGTGAGATAGAGAAGACCTAAACGGTCTAATAAGTGGGAGATATCATCAACTTCACTGTAGTTTTCAGAGAGTTTAGATGATTCATAAGATGAAGAGGTTATGGCTTTTATTATTTGCAAGAGTGTTATTTAGAAAGAGAAAATATTACATCCAGATTTTTCAAGATCTGTTTGGAATTCTAGCTGCAATCAAATACAGGACAACTGTGAACTGTTAGGCTGGCTTTGGCACCAATAAAATCAAACTCAGCTTCTCTTTTCAAAGAGAGGCAAATAAGATAAGACAGAGGTCCTAGATGAGTTCACCTCATTCTGACCAGTTTCAAATGAGTTAAACTCATGTCATCTTGCCTTCTCAAAACCTCAACCAACCATTTGAAAAGGTTACACACCTTATCAACAGCAGTGCAAACAGGAGAGACTTAACAAACAGAAAGAGTCTAAGCAAAAAATGTAGCCTAGCGTTCCATGGGCCTCTTATCTGATTGTATCTGTTCAACATTTAAGGTCTCCCTTCTTGCATGGACAACTGAAATAAAGTACTACCAACAATCTGGGGCATTAAACATATTCCAGACTTTAGCTACCTCCAGAAGTAGGAGAGGGAGGGAACTAAGGATATCCTATAATGCAACACACAATATGCACAGGCTAAGCCCCTGAGATTACATATGTAAACAATCTCAATTGTAGTTATGTACTTTGGAGGTTGTTGGCTCACAGCCTTTAATCAGAGGACCTGGAAACTAAGTCCAATATGTACCTCCAGACAGGAAGGATTTGGACTTTGTGTGCGGATGTATTCCACTTTCCTGAAAGTACAGCAACAAACTGCACAGAAAGGAAGGCTTAGAGATTTTATAGGTGAGAGGACAATCCTAAAGCCACTGAATTGTATACTCCAAACAAACAGATCCCTCTGAAAAACGTGGAGCTGAGATCTAAACCAGAAACATCACATCCTTTAGGCTTTTGGATAGTTAAGATTTGTGTTCTCGGGAGAAAGAAGAACAGTGACTCAGAGGAACTCAGATTTGTAAAACATGGACAAGGCTTCTCCAAAGTGTTACATACATTGCTAAGGTCTGGGGCATGTGGACTGGAGGGGCTGACTGGGACAGAATCCCCAGCTGCTGACGGCATGTACATCACAGGGCCTGTCTGCGTGGGGCTGGACACGGCCGAGGACTGCTGCAAATCTTCACTGAGGGCAGGCTCTGCACGAGAGAAAAGCACACGGAAAGTTGCTCAAAGCTGTACAATTGCAATGGAGCACAAGACATTTAAGAGCAAGAAGAAATAGGCACAATAAATATTCCCGAGAGAAGAAAAAAATCCACAGAAATATTCCACTTGTAAGTATAGAAGCAAAGACAAACCTCATCTGGCAAATGGCTACTACATCTCTAATATCCCTCCCATTACCACTGTCATCACTTGTACTCTGTGCTGCTCTTTAGCCCATTAATGCTGCTCCAAAATTATCTGCTCTGCATGAATTGTGTGTTATTCATTCAGCTGCCTTGAACTAAGCAGAGCTTCCTTCCCTCATTGCTAGGCACAGAGTTGATGAGTGCATTATAATTAGCTGAGGGAGTTAAGTTTCCATCTGTGCTCAGTACAAACCATTACCAAAAAAAAAAAGTGTCACTGGCTTGGAAGGTAAAGTAGAGATGCTGTAAGACTTGTATTTACACCTAACACCACTCAGCATCCCTCCAAAACCTATAGAACTGACATTACACCTGCATTACAGTGTCTTTAAAGTGCTGGTTTAACACATTTCTTCCTAACAATCAGCAAAACTCACGCTAAGAGCAGATACAAATAAGTTCATATAAATGGACAGCAGTTATTTTAACTGAGTTAGACCCTCTGCTAAGAGCAGACACAAATAAGTTCATATAAATGGACGGCAGTTATTTTAACTGAGTTAGACCCTCAGTGTTCACCTTCCTAAGGGAGGACTAAAAGATGCAACTCCATCAGACAGCACAAGAAATAACCAGGTGGGAATGACCTAAGTGCACAGAATGTTACTCTGATGAAGCAGAATATTATCAGGTGCAGTAATCTTGTTAGGAATAAGGCATCTCCTAAACAAAAATACTGTTATCCACAAGGAAGTTTGCTAAACACTATTCCTTTATCAAGATTTCATCTTGATCACACTGTGTAGTTGCACTGCTGTGTTTTGGGCCATTACAGCCCACAGCTCCAGCTATAATTACTGCTTGGCGACAAGGCTTCCTATAAAAGGAACTGCATAACCTGTAGGGAATTTACTTTCTCCATTCCTTGACAAAGGCAGCAATTACTAATTCACTCATTTACAAGGGCTAATCAAATAACAAAGAGACTTCTCTCCATTCCTTGACAAAGGTAGCAATTACTAATTCCCTCATTTAAAAGGGCTAATCAAATAACAAAGAGACTTTCTCAAGGCCACGTAGTGAGTCAGTATCAGAGCCAATCTAGTGACTTCTGAGTAACCTGCTCTAATTGCTGCAAACTCAGCAGTGAGACTGAGTGCAGAAACTGAGTAGGAGCTACAGGACAGGAACTAATCAGTTATGCATGAATGTTAGTCCCCACCTGTATACAGAACTCCCACAACCAAAACAGCATCACTAGTTTACAAGTGATTAAAGTGAGGATTGAAATAATGCCCTATAAATCAGGGAGCTATTGAGGAAAGAGGATTTGAAGAAAAGCAGAAGGAAAAAAAAGCTGCATATTTTTCTTCTCCAACCTGACTTAAAGATTTAACCAAACTTCATAAATAGTAAAACAGCATTTAGGTTTTTTGAACGGATCAATATATTATCTGTAACTAGCAACTTTATCCTCAGCTTTTTAAAATGCAACACTTTGCAACCTAGCTAGGTACAGTTCAGCCACATACAAAAGAGAAGCAGCTTTCTCCACTTCCATCCTCCTCAAGTGACACACAGAGAACTGAGCAGGTGAGAGGGAACTGAGGGAGATGCCTCAAGAGACTGCAGTGAGAGCTATGGGCCAAGTCCCACACACTACCTACTGACTCCAGCTCTGCCAACACCTCCCACACTAGCACAGTTTTAGAGAAATCATCAAAGGTAATACTTTAGTTTTGAAAATTCTTCACGGAAGTTCTAGTCTTGCAGCCCTATACTTTAAACTGTCTTGGTCAGAAGGTGTCCATAGCTCAAATATTCATCAAAGATAAGAGGAGTCGTCCACGTACGTTCTACATGTGCAAAGGCACAGAAGGGTCCTCGGGGACAGCTGCCAGACTGCTGCATGTCATTGCATTTGGTGGATTTGTAGATCTAAGAATGGGGGAAAAAAACCAACACAACACCAAAAAATCAACATGAACAGGAAGTAACAGTGACCAGCAGCCCAGGTACAGAAGTACTACAAAGAAACTGAACAGCAAGATAGGGACACAGATAAAAGGTGCAAAGGCCAGCAGAGTTCAGAGTGACCATTTCAGGGCTTGGCTTCAAAGAAAGGAAAACCCACTATAGTCCTGGAAACACCAAAACATACCCATCACAGCTACAGCTCACCCAAAGATCAACCCACCACGCAGCAGCTCACCCAAAGGTCACCATTTGCCATGAAGTCCCCCAGTCTCACTAGAAGCTCCATGGATATTACAAATGGCAAAAGGTATGAAACAGTTGAGAAATGACAGCACAGAAAGTTACAGCCACGTGTTTGCAAGGAAAGTAACAAACCATTGACAATGATTGTAGCAAATGGATTATTCCCTTTCCCCCCAGTTTGACAGGCGGTGACAATGGTTACTTTGCCGATACAGGGCCCAACAAAGCTTTTCAACACTGTAACATGAAGCAGACTACGAAAAGGTCTTCATTACACTTTCTGTAAGGATATTGGAATGCTCTGGGCATGCTCACAACTAAGAGCTTGGTGGTGTTTAGTGCTATCATTGTCAACCAAAAACTTTTATTCAAGGAAACTGATGCTGTATGCTCACGTGCAAACCCATATGCCTTCCAGGGGATCCCATATGTGACACTGCTCTCACGCTTGAGTTCTCCCCCACTTTTCTTACCTCCTCCCACGTGGTCTACCTAACACAAAGGAACCTCTGACAAGCAGTTGAATTTCAGCTCACTTTCAACACGCAGTTTCTCTGTATCCCAGGACCACACTACAAGCAGCCCACATACTCTCCCACCTGGCACAGTAATTCCCCTCAGAACACTGAAATGCTTTTGCTTTTCTATCAACTACCAAATGGAGTGAGGAGGTTACTGTACCTCTGGATGGAACTGCTGTTCTGTGCGAGTGTGGCAGTATTGGCATGAGTCTCCATTCTCACACTTACTGGGATCTCCCCACTCGTCTCCATGTTTCACACTGGGACATGGTGAGGATCTGTGTAAACAAGGTAGCAGGACACTGCATTAGACTCACAGATGTGCTTTGTCTGAGCAGGTGGAGGGAGGTGATTCTCCCCCTCTTCTCTGCTCTCCTGAGACCCCACCTGGAACACTGCATCCAGCTCTGGGGCCCCAAACATAGGAAGGACATGGACCTTCTGGAGAAAGTCTAGAGGAGGCCACAGAGATGGTCTGAGGGCTGCAGCACCTCTGCTATGGAAACAGGGTTTGAGAGTTGGGGGTGTTCAAGCTGGAGAAGAGAAGGCTTCAAGGGTGACCTTACTGTACCTTCCAGTGCCTAAAGGAGCTCCTAGAGAGCTGAAGAGAGACTGTGGACAAGGACATGGAGTGATAATACAAGGGGGAATGGATTTAAACTGAAAGAGGGTAGATTTAGATTAGATATAAGGAAGAAAGTCTTCCCTATGAGGGTGGAGGTTGCCCAGAGAAGCTGTGAATGCTCCATCCCTGTAAGTGCTCAAGGCCAGGTTGGAGCAACCTAGTCTAGTGGAAGGGAGGGAAGCCCCATGGCAGGGGGCTTGGAACAAGATCATCTTTGATGTCCTTTCCAGCCCAAAGCATCCTAGGATGTTACAATTCCTCAGTCAGAGGCAGGTTTGGCTGTGCACCCCCAGCTGTACAAGCTGTTTGCTTGGCTGCTGCTTCCCCAGCCCCCACACAGCTGCTACTGCATCTTCTTCCCCTTCTTCCAATTTCCCAATGAAAGAAACATGGCTTAACTCTCCATTTGAAACTGAATACAACTTGAACCAATGTAACTTAACAATATTAGCAGCTGATGTGATTAGCGTCAGAGAGGCTGGGTCTGGTTTCTGTTTTGGAACTGCACCTTCATAGAAAGCTAAGAAGTTAATTGGCTAATCCTAAAACACATAATACCCTTACAGCAGTATGTTTCCAGGTTTATAGTGTAGCCATGTGGAAAAGAGGCTGAGTCAGGTCACTGGGGAAAAGGCAAGTCCATTTCGTATCTCCAGCCAGGAACAGTTCTTTTTCCCAGGTCTGAATTTTTGCCGTGACCTACTTCCCCTGCTCTTTATGCTCTTAACCATTCCCTCAAACAACAGCAGAGGGAAGCAGATAGCAGCACCAGAACAGCCTACATGAGCCCAGCCACATCAGCTGGGGGTGGGGAAAGCAACACAGAAGTGAGGGGAGATCAGGAAGGGAGAAGCTTTCACCTCTTCCCTTCCCAAAGGGCCCAGGCAGGGGCAGAAAGCACAGAGCTGCTGCCTGAAGACAGACTTGGGGTTTCTGTTTCTCCTGAAAGTGTTGGGATTAACGTTCCTTTGACCTCTGTTTGTTTAATTTTTGTTAAATACAGGATTTCAGTGCCAATTCAAAAATTTCTGTGAATGTTGGGGGTGGGGAAGGGAAGAGAGAACATCCATGGTGTTTTCTCTCCTGGTTTTCTGGTCCGCTCTTATGCTTTTCAAAAAGGAACTAAGGAAAAGCCCCACTGAGACCACAACAAAAGCTCTGTTGTGTTGGAGGAAATGAGGGCCTATAATTTGGATGAAATGCGTTCAGGGAGACACAGCAAGCTGAAAAAATCCAGCGACAGCTGAGTGACAGAACACCCTGGTGCCTCAAAAGCAGAGTCTTTAGCAGCTGGTTAGGAATGCATGTCCAGCTACAGTCCTGCTCACACCGTGCCTCATGATCCCCATCACCAGGCACACACAACAAGCAGCCTGATGGTTCTGAATCCTTTACCATGAAAACACTGTTGTCTGAGTTTGTTTCCAGATGGGGATTAAAACTTTCTTTTGTTTTCTTTTCCCTGCACTGCTTTCCAAAGCAAGAGTTTGTGCGGTAAGGGGGAGCCAAACACAGGTTCTGTTGGCTATAAAAATCAGAGTTGTAACATGGCTTAGCAGTTCATATATTAGAGATACTGATTCCTATATACTGGAATACTCTTTGTTTAGTTTGTTATCCTTCTCCCAAGCAGAAATAACAGTCCATCAATCTGTCACTACGTGCCTTGGAGATACACTAAAAACAACTATCTAGTGGTCAAAATCTGGTCTCCTTCACCACAGATTTCCAATACACTGCACCACTCAGCTGGGAAAGAGAAAAATCCAGGATCACAGTACCTGTATTTGTGTTTTCTTGGACTTCTTCTTCTGTCTTTGCTATTGTGGTAGTAGGGACAGGCATAACCCTGGCGACAGAGCCGAGGGGGTTTCTTACACTGCTCTGTCTTGTAATTTCCCAACACATACGTTGTATCTGCAGAACAAGCAACCAGTCAGGGGGAGATGGACATGATCTATATGTACTACACAAAAGTGTTTGACAGGAGCAGGCATTCCAGACACCAGGCTCTCCCAGCCCCACAGATCCTAGTGACACTCACCTTGCCACCTTGGCTCCTCACTGAGTATTTTCTCTATCATGGCATGGCTAGCAGCGACCGCAGACTGACCCTCTATGCCTCCTTCAGATGTTGTCTGGCCATTCTGCAAAGCTTCCATTGCCTGAAGCTCCCTTCAGGGGCAGAGTTAAATGAACAAACAGACTGAGCAGATGAACAGTCAGATAAATGTGTATAAAAACTGACATACTGGAGCATTTCCTACGTGGGTGCATTTCAGTCATGCTTTTTTTTTTTTTTGTCAGAACATCTTTAGCTGCACAGCAACTGCAATAAAAACTTCACTCCCTGGGAATTCCAGATGCACTATTTTGACCTCCTCATCAGATTCCAAAGTGTAATCCCTACCCCTGTTTTGAGAACACCTCCCCGGACATTATGTAGAAGAGATATCTCAACATCACTCCATTTCACACTGAAGCAGTATTGTCCCTCAGTCAGACTTAATCTGGGTACAGAGATTACCTGTTTCACTCAGAGCCCCAACCCCTCCTAACCTGATGTCATACACCGGCGAGCGCAGGTCATGAGGCCCATGAGCGAAGGCGCAGTGCACTCCGTTCTTCGTGCAGTTTCCCTTGGAGTCTGTCTCATGGATGCAGATTCCAGTTTTGTAGTAGCGCAAGTGATACCTCCTCTCTGTGTCTCCAGTAGTTCTATGCAAGAAGGGACACCTGAGGTACAACAGGAGGGGAAGAACAAACAACATTTAGTCACACAGGTGATGGATTAATACTACCAGAAGACACGTTGCTGATGAGGATGCTGCAGTCACAACACCTTTGCTAATTCTGCCCCTTCGCTTGTGATGTTCCAACGCTACAGAGAACCCCAAAACCTGTCACTAGACAGGAGAGTTTCCCACCCAAAAAGATGTTTGGATTAGTAAACTAGCAGCACCTTATTATTCTGGTCTAGTGACTGCCAGGGATCTGGAAAAGAGCAAGGACACTGCCCAGGTGTCCTGGCTGTGACTGAAGAGACCTCACATGGCACATATTTTCTCAGCAGCCCATCTAGACTTGGTGCTGTTATTGTCTCCTGCTGCTGTGCCAGTCTGTCTATAGGCAGGTGCAGCCTTTATGCAGTACATGGGACAAGAAAGGAGAACTACTGCACTACCATCTTAACTTGTTTTGTTTCCTCTCTTAGGCAGGAAAAGAACAATCTACACTGAGAAATTAAAAAAAAACCCACAAGATGGAATAGGCAAAGTTTAGATGTTGCAGCATCGAGCTAAAAATACAAACCCACAAGGGTTCCTAGATGACAACAGCTTTCATTCACTGAGTGTCAGCCAGATATCAACCACTGATCTAGAAACCAAAGTCCCTAAATATCCTATTTCCAGTTCCTTCCAGATCTCCTCTAACAAGGAAGAATGTACTGAAACTGAAGCTTCAGGCTGAGGGACTATTCCATTCTGCTGTAGGCACAAAAACTTTACTTAATCTGGTTTATAAAAATACTGGTTTCCTGATAAATAGCATTTTTGTGTGTTTATATTGGCACCATGAAAGGGAACTGAAATTCCATCTTTCTACAGCATCTCTCTATAAAACACTCCCCATATTTGACCACAGTTTGGCTACACTATTTCTTCCTCCCTATCTGTCACGTGGCTAAGGTTATATTACTGGGTTAACTCCTTAATTGCTGGGGTCTGCCACAAGCACAGCAGAAACACTTGCACCTCTGCCTCAGTCATAGCTACTGCGGTCACAGGGAGACGACACCCAAAAAACCCAAACTCTTCCTCATGCTGCCTTAGTCTGGGTACCTGCCATTTCCCTAGTGGCTTCTTGAAAGCTCAGGAAGACAAAACAAACTGGGGACAGGTAACTCAAGGGCAGACTAGAGGACAAAGCTCCTCCTCTTTATTCAATCTGTGAGAACTAAGTTATCCTGCTAGTGGGCAAGAGCTATTATTTGAGAGCCAGGGACTTACAGACACAGAGTCTTTCTGAACCCATTTGTCCCTGAGCTGCTTTTCCCACCTCAGCTCTGCTGAAGAAGCCAAGGCTCACAAGGACAGTGAATTCCCAAGAGCTGAATTCCCATCTAAGTCACCCTTACTATCCCCTCTGCAGCAGGCCTGGAGCTCACGGGTTGCTGTTACAGATTTTACATCTGGTCTCATGTTACGTATGTGACAAAGCTGCTTTACTGCTGACTTGCCTCATCTCTACAAGAACTGGCTGGAATCATCACCTGGACTGATCCCAAAAGCCTAATGCCTGAAAAGCAGGGTGCAGTCTTTACTTACTCATCTCCTTCTGGGCAGATTCCCGTGGTCTCGTCGTACTTGGTACAGTAAATGTCAGGGCTGTAGTTAAACGTCCCATCCCGGCGGCGGATGGACCTGCGGCGACGCTGGTTGACAAAGTGCCAGTGGAAACAAGTGTAGGGTCTGTGCTGAGTGCACTTGTGCTGCACGAAAAGAGGGCACTGCTCCGTGCGGAACTCCTTCAGGTAGCTGCAGGCAGAAATCCAACAACAGGAGATTAGGACCAGGATGCTGGGCTGAGGCAATATCCAATCATCCCGCGGAGGCCAGGCCAAAGGAGCCACATCCATCAGGGATGCCTGCTGTCCTTCCCACTCCCTCCCTGCTCTCGCTCCCAGTAAAGGAGGATGGGAGCTGCTGGTGTCTGTAATGGGAAGATATCCGTTAGCAGGCCAGGGAACATCACAAGAGCCAAAATCACCTTCTATCGGGATAATCTGGAAGAGGTTTTTGTGAGCTTAGAGAACAGTTTGTAAGAAAATAGAACTCTTAAATTCTATCCATTTCTGTCTCTAAACTGTGATCTATCTGGGCTAAAAGAGTTCCTTCCTATATGTTCAGTTTTTCAAAATCCCAAGTAAAATATACTTCTTTGAGCCACATTTAAAGCTTCAAGTTCCTGAGAAAGAAAGATTTTTAAAGGACTCTTTCATGCCTTGCCCTCCTGGTTGAGCTCTGCTTCTTCAGTACATGGTCGACTGATATGAAAATGAATCAATTTCTCTCTTGCAATTGTGTGAATTCAGGGCTCAGTCTTGCAATGCGGGTAACTCTCCTCTAACTCCCACATGTTTACGTCGCTTTAATTTGAATATGTAATTCTCTGAAAGTCCATGTCTTCTTTTACCCCGAGAACTAAAGAAGTCACAAGCTTTTATTTGTGACACTAATAACAGTCTCTAAACCCAGATTGTAGAGGATTACAAAATGGTTTAGATCAACATAATGATCTGCCTGTGATCTGTGTGTAGGTGCTTACAAAATCCATGCTGCTGAAACCCACAAGCTGCCCTGTATTTACAGGGAACATCCCAACAGCTCAGACCTGAATCCCACCAGGTTTGGTCTCGGAGACACATCCACAAACAACACACAAGACCCAGAGCATTCTGGTCCCTTATGTTTCGAGGTCAGTGTAAACAACAAAAATTTGTAGGTCAACTAAAAATGCAAGTATTCTGCTGGAAGCAACAGGATGATGTAACAGCAGATATGGACTCATTTTAAACTGCGTATGTACTCCGAGGCAACAAAACAGAGCACAGGAATTTGTCTACTATTCATTCCCATGTCAGACAATCTTTATCTCGTGTTTCTAAATAAATGGAAAGATGTTTGATGCCCAAAGTTGTATTTACAGACATTATCATCATGCTAGGCTCATTCTGAAAGCAACATCTGTAAATAAAGCCTCCTTTCCTCTACCCCAGCTGAAGCGAAAGCCTCAGGAAAATGCACAAATTCAACCAAAGTGGTTTCATTTGTTTGCTATGAAGAGAGAGTATCACTGGCAAGAGCTTTCCTACATTGGATTTTGCAAGCATGAAAGGATAAAAGCTCTTCCTCCTCTTCAACCTCTAAATACGCGAGATTTGCAGGTTCCACTGCTCCGGATCTGCGAGCGCCTGGGGCTGGAAGCCTCCACAGCCACTGTAAGCCCTTCCCTACCCCAGCCCATCTGTCCCCTGCAATCCAGCGTGGCTGGAGCAGGATCTGCACTAGGGCCCAAGGCTTCACAGCAGAAAAACCAGGGCCAGCTGCGTAAACAGGTCTGCTCAGGGTAGGTGAGGGCTAAGGACTTCACTTTGCTCCTGTTCGCTTCTTAAAATCCATCCGGCAGTTCAGCTCAAAACTGAAGGCTGTGGTAAAAGTCATCCACTCTTGAAAAGCTTTCTAAACTGCTGGACCAAGTATGGTTGTAGAAGGTGGAATTCCACAGATTATCTTATCAGCACACTAAGAAGACTTGGGAAAAAAGTGACTGTAACAACATTGTGGTTAGAAAGTGAATTAAGCAACCTCCAGCAGCACAATGCTTAGGCTGCTGTCCACAGATGCTGCACAGCCACCAACCAGTCACTTCCACCCATTCATCTCCACATACACCTTAAAGACACAAGATTTATGTTACTCCTACTTTACACATGGACAAGCTGCCAAACAGCTGGCTGTGTGCTCCAGCTGGTATCACACAGCAGTCGGAATCCGTGACAGAAACCAACAGCATTTAAACTCCTCCATCCTCACTGAGTCCTGGGCTTAAGTTGTAGAACAGCATCCTGAACCTCCTCAATGCTCTGGAAACCAAGGGAAGCTACCAGGCTTACCCAACGTGGGTATCAAGCCCAGTGCTCCAGACTTGCAGTGATAGACATGTGTAAAACACTCAGAAACCTCAGGATTTAATAACTGCACCATCAACCGAGCTGAAACAGCTTCCCTTTAGCAGGGAAGTTCAAAAATGTACACACTGACTAGGGATTTCGGTCTCTAGGGTCTCAATTGTTGCTGAAGAGCATTTGAAAATTAATTGCATTTCATGATTGGCTAAACTCCCTAGAGAAACATTTATTATAATGTAAATGAGGGATAATTACATAAGTAAATGGTTCACCTGAAAAGTGTTTAACACCTAACTTGCTTCATCAGAAAGTCATTCTTTAATGCTGTCTGTTAAATAAATGATGTCTCACTCCTAATTTCAAAGCAAGTCCTGCAAACAGGTACCACTGAGCTCCACAGGAGACACTAACTGTGCACGATCACCTCTGCAACAAATCCCACAGAGGGAAAGGAGAGTTGTCACATTAACTCACTCATTTCAAGCCTTTCAATCACTGCCTTGGGTTCTTTTTTTTTTTTTTTTCAAGCCACTACAACGTTTTAAATCACCCTCCTCCACAATAGCCTGAATGGTAAATTGCCTTATAGCCCTTTATTTTCTTGATCCATGAAGTGAGTTTTGGCTCCTCTGGGAGAACACGGACCACTCAACCAGCCACTTTGTATTAAAATATATGAAAGGCATCTAAACCACATGTGTTTTGGGAACACAGAGAGGATACACAGCCCTCACCATCGCAATGTGATGTCTCACAAAGCAGAAAGCCATTAATATTTCAGTAGCCTCTTTGCAAAGGCTCTAAACAAAAAGGCAGAGAACACTGGTATGACAGATCCTTCTGGTGTCAATGGTCTCTATAAATTTAATTTTTTTCCCCAGAACAGCTGAGAAAAGGAATTTTTTGAACGACCCTTGAAACTGAAAACATGTTGATAACTGGTGCACATTTCACGGCGTGTCAGCCAAACACTGTGTCTGCACAGGAAGAGGAAATCCAGCAATGATAACTTGCATTTCTCAACTCCTCTCAGGAAACTCTACAGCCCCCACAGGAGGGGCAGAAGAATTATTACCCCCATTTTATCCAGGAGTTACTTCTAGATTAATTTTCTTAAATACATGTGCATATACATCATATTATCAAACCTATTTAATTTTTAATGAGTGGAAAGCACACAGCACTGTCATCTTCTGATACTACACTAACATCAACAGCAACACCCGAATTCCTGGAGGAAACATTAGCGTTTATGAGCCCTAGTAAACAAAGACAAATGCAATTCTAAACAAACAGGACAATGCAGATCAAAGTCCCCAGGCTGAACTGAACTGCTGAACAGGATGGACACTACTGGAAATCAAAGTTTTTCTCACTAGGAAGACAAGAGATGTTCTTGGAGTAGCTTTGGGAACTCCCAGAGACTGACAGGAGCAGTAAAATATTAGGAAAAAACCTCAATGCTACTTTACTGAAATTCCACTTCCTTCAGGGTGGGATGTGGCAGTAATTACTCTGCAAGAGCTTACACCAGTGGGAACTGCTCACTGTCTTTAATTGCCGGCAGCAGCTCAACTCCCCAGGGCAGGGCAGCAAGTGTTTACCTCTGCAGCTTGGAATTGCAGGAGTTCCCTCTCTGCCCTGGAGGAATGGACTAGGAACCTGCTCTGGGAGCTACAAGGAAAAAGATGAGTGGGGTGGGGAAAAAAGAAAAACATCAAACCTAAAAAGAAGGAGAGGAAAAAAAACAAAAATGAAAAGAGAGAAAGCAAGAAGAAACTCTAACCTAGAAGTTTCATTTTTAAACTCCACAATGGCAGCCTTGTCCTGGTCTCACTCCTCACCTGCTGCTGCAGAGATCTGCTTTGCTGCAGCTTTACTGGTTGACAGCAAGCAGCTCAGTACAAGGAGATACCTGCATCCATCCTGCTTCCAGGGCTGCAACCTCCTGCCAAACTTGACATAAGTCACACACGCAGTGGAGTGAGCTCAACTCAGGAAAATGTGCTGGTAATGCAGGAGGACAGCTAAGCTCCAAATTCCTCATGAAAAGCCTTACCCAAAGCTCCCTGAGATGACTGGAAGATGCACACTGACGCCAAAAGAGAAGCCTCTGCTTTGTAACAGAGAGATCAGGAAGAATGAGAAACAATTCCAAGGAGCACAGAAATTAAAGGATTAAAGCCAACTCTTCCAAACTCTTGTTGCTCATGTAGTGCAAAGCCAGGCTCTCCTGTGCTTCTGACACCCCTGAGATCCTCATATAGGTCCCAAGACAAGCTCTTCACCTTAGGGCCCTTCTTGCTCCTCCTGGTCAATCCCCTTTCTGCCAAAATTCCTCGTGGGCCCAAGGAGAGCACAGACCCAGGACATGAATCTTCTGCAGCAGTAGGACACCAGAGAGAAAACCATTAGATAATTGTCTGGCTAATCCAGACTAGGACTCTGCCTGCAAATGTAGGGCAATAGTGAGATCTAACACCACTGACACCTAGATTTTGCATACGTGTGGGTGTGTGTTTACACCCATGAAACTGTGCTACAGCACCTTGGTAAAGGTCTGTGTTGAGTGGTTGGTACCAGCATTGCTTATCTGGAGTCAGAGCAGTGTGAACTACAGACAGCTTTTACACCAGTGTGCAGGTCCTCACTCTGAGCAGGGGTTGTTCTCAGTGAGCCTCCATCCCTCCAGCAGCTCCTTGGCACGAGAAACCACCCCTGAGAAGGCAGCCCAGGCCAGAGTTGTTTGTAAATTCCAGCCTGGTGTGGGCACTCCATTATCAGCATTAATATTAAAAGTTACTAGTTCAGGACTGTATATATAAAGATCCTTAGGACTAGCCACCA